TATTTCACATTTTGTTAAATATCACCAGCTTTGTATGAGGAATCAAAGACATCAAAGAGCAGGTCACAGGAATAGTTAAGAAGGCTCATATACACAGAGGGACAAAGGAAGGGGGGGGTATCTCCAGAAAAACCCCATAATGAATAACGCTGCATCACGTCTGCTGATGGTTTGTTGTGAGTGCTCTAGTTTTTTGTTGTTGTTTTTCTACAGGGTGGATGGAATTTGCTGGCTTTTGTTTGTTCAGCCAACCATAAACTCAAACACTTTTAGTGAATGTTCAAAAAGTGACATTATTATTCAATCATTACTTCTAGAACTGCGCATAAAACCTGCACTGGGACTGAGGGTCAGACGGGAGAGGGACACCACAACGAGGGAAGAAGCGCTGCAGGCACAACACAAAGCACACACGGACACAGAGATAAGCAGAGGGATCACCTCAACAGTCTGAGCTCTGATGCTGTGTTTTTACACCCGGCTTTACCTGAGTCAAGTTTGTAGTGAGGACATAACTCAGGTAAGGGGAACTTACAAGAGGGATGAGGGCTGAGAGTGTCAGAGTCAGAGTCACAGGCACTTGCGATAAAATGACAAAAACATTACAATTTCCATTAAGGCACAACAGATAAACTACACTCACAAGCATCTTTGGGACAAGAACAGCGTGTTTCTTGTAGTGGGCATAAAGAGCTGCACACAGAGGACTGTGCAGAAGGTTGGCTTTCATATCTACACCCCCGACAAATGATTTTAGCAGGACGAATGACTGCTAACGACACTGACAACATCCCCTTTGTAGCCTTGATGATGAGTTTTGACACCTCGGCATATATCAATAAAGTTGTGGTTTGAAGACAATAAGAACAGTTTCTGGGTTTTTCTAAGTCTAGTTGCACAGGGAGAGACCATCCGCACTAACTTCTGATGCACACCAGTCGTTTTGTTCTATAAGCCTGAAGCATTCAAGGTCACTCCTGGTCGATTTATACAAGGGCGTAAAGAGTTAAAACAACAAGGAACTATAACTGAGAAGTGTTTAATTATTCTTTATAATAATCATTATTGTCACCATTAGTTTATGGATTACCAATTAAATTTATGGGTTCAGTACTTACCTGGCACCGTCTTAATTTTTGGTGGCCATATTTGGTAGCCTGTGTTTGCTGATACCTAAGACTTACTATAGTTTAAACAGAGGATTTATATGAAAGGAGTTACCATGAAGGAGACAATTAGCTATATGAATTCAGTAATTTCATATTAGGGCACATAATTTGGGCTTTGGGATGTAAATAAAATTTAAATTTAAGAGAAACAACAAAACCCATTTCACGCGGTACCAACTCAGTTTAGGGTTGCGACTCACATCTGGCTTTAGCTACAAAGACAATGCAAAAATTCACTATTCATTTGTGTTTTCATGGGATTTGCTGACAGAAAAAGCCCCTCCCCCCACTTGTCCTTGAACCTCCTCTCTGATTTTCTATGTGGACAGTGTCACTATACTGACTCTTTTCTCTTCTGAAGTCACTGGATTTCATCAAACAGCTACGGCTGCTTGGCCAGAATAAATC